CATAGGTGGCCAACAAATTGGCTGCTGCTGCTGCTGGGTTGGCACTGGCAGCTGCTGCAGCCAAAGCCCCTGTAGCTGCTGCCTGACTTAGGCCTAAACCTAATGTATTGAGATTATATCCATAGCTGGCTAACGTATTAAGTGCAGAGGTGATGGCCACCAGGTCATTGCCTGTAAAGCCAGATAAAACTGCTGGAAAGGCTGCCACTCCAGCAAGGTTAGCATGTCCTAATAGCCCTGCAGCAGCTGCAGCAGTTGGTAACACTTCAGCAGTGTTTGCATAAGGAGATCCGGTTGGATTGGAATTGGCCACTGGACCTGTGACATTGGCATAACTGATATTGAGACAGCTGCCACTCTGTGGATCCTCTTGTATCTTCTGGATGATAAGTTCAACAGCTTTTCGGTTTTGTTCAGGTTCTCCACTCACAGTGACAACCCTCTCTTGCAAGTTGATCCCATCAGGTTTCTGGGAAAGCTGCACCCAAGCCCCTGACTGCTCCATTATAGCCTTCACTGTAGCACCTCCCTTCCCTATTATCAGACCTGCTGTGCTGTTGGGAACTATAATCTTTACCTGTAATTAAAAAAAATATATATAAATAATACTTCTGCTTTGTGCATAAACACTATAATATTTTGCTACCCTATAAAAGGAAGGAAAAGAATGAAGCAAGTTAGTTACCATGTTTTTAAAAGAAAAGGTTAAAAAAAATATTAAAAAGAAATACAGCTCATCACGCTTTTTAATGCTCTGCATCTGTTTCAAATGTACGATACGAAGAATTAAAGAGAAAATAACAGGAAAATCATATTTATCATTCTCCCACAGAATATACTGCTTTCAGCATAGTACATTTCAGACCAAAAGATTAAGCAAATGCAGGTATTATGCTCATATGGAAAGATTGTCTTACATTGTATCAAAGTGAGTGTTTTCATCTGATTCCTCTCTTTCCAGGCTAACGTAGCAAACCAACTTCTTAGACAAAATGTGTCTGAAATTCTTCACCTTCCCTTAAAACATCTATAGTAATAATAATTCAAAAAACCCACTTGGCTAAAGCAAATATGGTATAGCATGGACAGATAAAATAGTTGGTCTTGAACAGGACATGATCTTGATTGTTCAACCTGTCACCCACATCACTATACCGAAATTAATTATGCGCTACAGTGTGTTATTATTCAGCCTATGAAAATGAAGTGCAGCAGGAGAGAGTCTAAATGCTGAAGATTTTTAAAGAATAAAGTATGGCATTTGTACATCTTAAAGTTTATCAAAATGTCTTCAAATGAAGGGTCTTTGCCTATAAATCCTACCTTTCCTCCTGTTTAAAACAAGTTTCAAACTGACACAACCCTCATTAATGTCAATAAATTTATTCCTTATTGACTTACTGCTATGAGCGAAGAATGACACCCAAGATAAAAATTCAGTATTTATACATATTTTTCGTAGCTTTTGTTTTTGATACACATTTTACAGATGCGTCTCAAGGTTTTAATGTACCATCTGTTTCATGATATTGAATTAATATGATGTTTTATCTTACAAAAATACATTTTTAGTAGCCTACTGATATCCATTCATCCAGGTTTTGTGGTGCATAGATATAGGGGTAACACTTTTCAATTTGTCAATCCTTTCACCAAAATGCTATCTAAAATCTCAGCAACAAGTCAATATAAAATACAATTAAAATTTTATTAGCAACATTCTCATGTTATTGCCTCATTATAAAGTCAAGCTTATTATAAAGTCAAGCTAATTACGAATAGAAATGCATGCCCTATAAATAACATTATAAAGAAGCTTATTATAAAGTCAAGCTAATTACGAATAGAAATGCATGCCCTATAAATAAGCTTTTTCTATTTTTAACCATTTCAGATCTTTCCAGTTGTTATGATAGCATCAAAATCAAATCTGAAAATCCAGCGTAAAGTTAAGGAACATTTATATTTTCCACTTATACAATATGTACATTAACAATTGTAACATACCATATTGTATTTTGCACTGAATTGTTTTACAGCATATATAGAATTTTTAACTTCTTTAGAATTTCAAGTTCACTGACATAAAAACAAAAGAATATAGAATAAATTTATATGGAATATGTGGAATATCTATGTTCTATGGAATAAATAAAAAATTATTAGATGCTGACTTATTCTAAAGGTAACATAAAAGTATGGTATTGAAAAAACATTTAGCCCACCCATATACTAAATAATCCTATAAAAACACAAACATCTCAATATGTGTATATACATATTTGTGTATACACACACACACACATTGAAATGTTCTTTATATATATTTATAGACACACTCATTTTTAAGTCAGGACACCTCGTAGTCATTTTAAAACGCAGTTCAAACTATCTGGTGATTTTGAGGTGCCCTTTTTTAGTTTTCCTATCAGAAAAAGAAAGAAACCATTCTTAGATTTGATTTGGTATTTGGGATCTAGATACAAAATGTATTAACTAATCTCTAAATATAAGGAATGTTCAGATTTTTATTAAATATATATATTTAAGGGTTTTTTGCTTGTTTGTTTGGTTTTGGTTTGTTGTTTTTTAATTAACACTCCAAAAATGCGAAGTTGTATAAAAACAGTCTCACCCAAGAAAACCCAATAAAACTGCAAATCTTTTATTGTATGGCACAGCTTTCATGATTATGGTTTTGTGCCACATACTACAGAAAACATTTACCTGTCTCCACTGATTTAAGACATACTAACAGCTTCTTTGGGAGATTTTGTCAGCTGTGATTTGCCAGATTCTGCTTGGTTTCATAACCAATGTGCACAGTCCTGACCAAGTTAGGCATAAGCGCTTATGTAAGTTTAAGAGAAGAACCTAAGAACATAAGAAGGTATGAAAATACACTGTCTCATAACCATACATGTGATTGCAGAACTAGAAGATTTAATTTTAGGGCAGCATTGTAGCACATGTAAGATCATAGCTACACATGGAACATATGAAAATCCAGGTTACTGTAATAAGGCTAGGATTACTCTAAAGGATTGGTGTAGTAAAATAAAATAATGGTTTAATTCAGCCACAAAATTAAGAAGGAAATGTTCTGTACGCAACAAGAAAGGTTTTCTCAATAAGAAACTACTACTTTTCTCACTTGACATCACAAAAGTTCATTTGGTTCACCACTAACAGCTCTGGTAGTTCGACAAAATTATCTGTCTAGTCAGAGGAAAGATAAAGAATGATCTCCTCCTCCTTACTCATCCACTCCTACCTTGTCCAGAAATGGTTTTGTACTTAGCTTTCAAACAACATACAAATTACGATGCGTTTCGGAACATGAATCTTGGATTTGCTGGATTAGTATGTTATATGTTTGTCTGCTTCTGAGATAAATAAAAATACCCTTTTCTAAATATCTATTTTAGAAACCGCACATTGTGTGTTTTAACTGACAACTGTCTTAAATTGTTTTAGCATAGGAATATAACACTAACGTCCTTTCAAATACAATCCCTGCCAGGGTGAGTATTTCACCTATTAACATATAGGATATCTTTTAAAAATATACATGTATTAAAAAATTAGACAATATGCACAATCTATTTTATACTAAGATGTCACAGAAAACATTATATTCCAATCAAAATTCAGTTTTAACAGAACATAAATACATCTGTATGTGTTTTGCTTAAAACATAAGTAAAATCCTGCTCTTCCTGAAATGAGTGACAACATTTGCATTATTTTGAGACATTCAATTGTAACATTCCTGTATTTGTGACAACTGATTGAAAATGTTATTTAAAAATGGAGATAATTACTTTAAAAAGCAAAACATATTTAGGATTTTTTTTAATTTAGGTCATATTAATCTTGCTACCAATTTGTAATTCTCCATCTGTTTCGTGCATTCACTTGATTTTCCCTGGTTCATATATTGGAATATTAACTCTTTACGGCAAACATTGGTTGTGATGTATACTAATACAGTATCTAGCAAACATTGTTGTGATGTATACTAATACAGTATCTAACATATTAGGCCATATTAGGTGCCAGTACAAACGGATTTTTTTTTTCCTTTTCTGTTGAAGCCTAAAATCCATAAGGTCACTAAGTTACAAGGTATAAAATGATACAACAAAATTCTTGACCTCAACTCCAGTTATACAAACAGAAATTGAAAAAGCAAAGATTATCTATTTGGTTTTGTTAGCTGCACCACCACCATTTTTTTAAGTACTTAACTCCCTGTCTGTCAGGGAAATCGGACAGTGCTTTTACTTCCTTTTTACAGATAAGAAGTTCAGAAAGTGATTTGGATGCAGAAGTGAGAAACCTAACTACTACTCGAAGTAAGTGCTCTGAGCTATCCAATAAAGGTATCTTTGACTATGCAGGAAGATTAGGTTTCCAGGTTTGTGTGTATGCTCCTGGCTATATTGAAATTTGTGCTGTAAAAAGGAGAGTGAGTATCTAAAGCAATTATGAACATAAGCTTAAAATACAAAGGCAATTTAATTTTTTTCAATTGCTATAGGAAGAAAAAAATGGAAGGAACTCAACCTTTATTTCATGCCAAATAGATTTTATAAAAAATAAGGATTGCAATGATGACATTTGCTTACTCACAAAGCAAATTAATTACTTCCACAGGCATCACTCTCATCCTATTTGTGTTAAAATAAGCAAGTTCAAAATCAGGCTCAGCAAGTATAATACTTCTTCCCTGAAAAGGAATCAAACTGTAACAAAAATAAAAGAAACAAAGTAATTTCACTGCATATGTTTTCACTGATCCATTATTATATCTTCAAAAGCCTTGACAAAGGTGCAACAGTCCAAGAAACTGTGGTGCTTAAGAAGGGCTCAAACCGGAGAGCAGTTTGTTGCCCTCGGTTCCCAATGAAGTCAGCAGAGATTTGATGAAACTCTGCACTTCACAGGAGGATGCTCGGTACTTGAGGAATCTCAGCCATTATGTCCAGAGGACACAATTCAAATTGCTTTAATTTAGCATTAATGGCTCATATTCACCCTTGCATGCTGCAAAATCCTAGACTCTCAAACTCTATCAGCTAATTCCCTAATCCTTTTCCATTTATTGACAACCCACTTGCATAACCCCATGCTGCACTCACCTATCTCATCAGCATTGCCTACAAGTCCTCTGATTTACCAAACTGAAAGTCCTGGCTCAGTTCTGGGAGCTAAATAGCATCTACTGTGGAATGCCAGATGTTCGGTGATTATGCTCTGCCGCTTCTCATCCCCTCCTTTATGCTGCAAGGAGATAATCTGCACTGAGCAGCTATCAATGTATATCAAGACACGCAAAATATCTGCATGGGAAGCAGAACCATGACCAAACCTGCACTGCTACCCACACTAACACCTCATGTCCTGTCTACCCAATCCTCATTCCCACTCCTCTCGTGTAAACGCCTCCAGCTATCTGTAGCAAGGTTCCCAACCCTTTCACTTTTCTATTACCTTATTTCTTTGCCCTCCTTCTCTCTGATGACACGTGCTCTGGTTATATTCTTACTTCTCACAGTCTTTGGAGGTGGGGGG